TTTTAATGATGTGGCTAGTATATGTCCTGGCAACAATATTCAAATTTATATCTATTAAAAAGTTAAACAGCAGATGCTTTGTATCGTTTTTAGATAACAGCCGTATTGTCAATCGATTTGGTTCAATACCATCTTTTAGATTTTCTGAAAAAAAGGTTTACTTTAAATAAAACAAAAAAATAATTATTTTTCATTTTCTTATACTAAAACATTAAAATATAAAAAAAATTAGTGTTTTGAAATAATATAAATATTTATATTACCAATTGGTATTTCATTTTATTATAATTAAAATAGAAATTTATTATAATTAAAATAGAAATAAAATAATAAAATAAAAAATAGAAAATTCTTTGTTACTTACATGTGAAATTTGCTTGATCCTTTACCAATTAGAAAAAATTCTTTGTAAAATACATATTGAGCTTACTGCAATTAATTATTAAGTGTGACTTATAGAATAGTTTTTAATTGTCTGATTATCAACTCTTTCATCTGAGCCACAGCCCGATTGAGCCTCTGTACAAATACCATTTAATGTCTTAAAACCAATACAAAGTAAATACATTTTAAGTAGATTACACGAGAGTCGATTACCCCCAATCCGTTTTGGGCAGCAAGCAATTGGATTTAATTGCCTGCACGATGACAATGCCATTATGAGCAAGGAAATTACGTAAGGGCGATAACCATAACCACGTAAGCGAACACACTGCTCACGTGTCGAAGGCAACGGAGCCACGTAGTCGCCAGCAACTGCCTATCAATCGGGGGGCGTTGGCGTGGGCGTGGCCTGGCTTCCGGGAGGCAAAAAATTAATATGTCTGGCATATGGCGTACACGATTTTAATGGCCGACATGACGAGAAACAGGCAACACCGGGCGCCTAACAATAGACATAACAGGCGACTGAGGAAGCGGCAGATGCTGGATGAAGTGTCACTCACATTTGCCCCTCTTCCATTTCCATGTAATGTTCTAATGTTCCATCAACATGTGCCTTTATTACTGGTAATCGCCTACAGGCCTGCAGATATTTACAGGAAAATTGTGTAAAGTATTCAGTATCAGGTTTTTCTACCCAGAAGTTAAGCGAACAATTTTAATATTTTTTAAAATCTGGTTTTAATTATTGAATTTAAACATAAACTTAGCTTTTCTTGATTTTAACAAAGATATTTATAGTTTGTTTCTTAATATAAAACCAAATGCATATATTATCTTACTCAAAAGTCAACCAATAAATATAAATCCAAACGAGACTTTAAAATATTGTTGACAAATATTCATTTTAATTAACGTTTATCAGTTGACAAATTTCGGACAGGTCAGTTAATGACTTTAAAGATATATGTTGTTTAAAATATAGCTTGTGATTCAATGCCTCAATATTTATTGGGTTAATATTATAAAATATTTATTGATAATGGCTCGTAAAGCAATTAAATATTATTTCCGGTGCTTATGTGATTTAGTAGGCGCATAAAAGATTTCAGGCAAACACATAAGGTTAGTTACTTAAGTTAAGTCTCCGGCGCATTACGCATACGCACTGTGTACGCCATTAACGGCCATTTCACATTTCCTGCTATCGAATTTCCGGTTGGGAAGTTGCCCAAACCAAACCAAGCCCAGCCAAACCAAACCAAACAATCCGAAGCATTGAAGATGCTCACGTTCATGTTGATTGCACAAAGCCCTCGGCAAGGCAGTTTACAAGAAACAAATTAATGTTTCTTTCCTTGGCTCAATGATTACAACGATAAGTTCGGTTTTTTACGCTGCCTTCAAGTTGTTTTTCCTGCTTGGATAAAAAGTAAACAAGGAGGGAGGGTGCTAAAAATGTTCGGCGCGTGTCCGCCGCAAAAATTGCCGGAAATTTGTTTGAGCTTTAAATTACAAATCATTATCGATGCGCATTATAAATTTTGTCCTTTGAATGGAGGCAGCCGGCAGCTGGTCGATAAAGGCGATTTCCTAATGCCAACGGCACTTGTAAAATCACTTTGAATAATATTGCATTTGGGTTTGAGTCTAGTTTCGGTTTGTGTGTCCTCCTTTTGAGCAGATTAATTTCCGGCATTTACACTTAATTCCCCCAGTTTCTGGCTAAGACCGGCCTCGGCAATCGATGCAATCAGCTAAGGACCAATTTAACAACATGTCAACGTACAGACGGGAATCGAAGCAACCGCATTTCGGTCGATGGAGGGGGTATTCTGGGGAGAAAAGCTTTAGATTTGCACACATTACCACTCAATCATCATATACCCGCCTGTGATATGCAGGATTTCAGGCTGTCCCATCTCCCTTCTGTCGGCTAAGTCCTTCGGCCAGGACCTCGGCACATGCACATGATGTCCACATGGCCGCAAAGATTTATTTACAATTGTGTTGAGACATAATTCCTTTTGATCGATTGCGGGTCCATCGCTCCCAAGGGATATGAAAGTGGATAGTGGAAAGTGGGCATGTGGATGGGATGGCGCTTTGTGGTCAGTTGTAAGTGATGATTCTTTTGGCCCTTCGTCCTTTGTCTTGGCTGCACATTTTCGCTGTGAAAGAAGAATGGCAAGGGAAGGAGAAGCCAGAATTATTTGCGCAATTTATGTGGCTTTGATTTCATTCGCAAGATGTACGGGACGGGCGACAGCAATTTATGGTAACTTGATAATTTGTGTTAGCATTTGCCAACAGTTCAAGGGCGGAGTCGAAGTCTCGGCGCTGGATGCAATTTATTTGCCGGACATGGAGCCCCACTGCTGCCGCATGGCATTAGAATAAGGAAATTGCAATCGAGTAAGGGGATTATACAGACCCAAGTGGGGAGCCAATGAAGAGTGAAGGTTTTTCACATGCAAAATGGAATTCAAATTAAGAAGCCTTCCTTGGATTATTTTCCCATGCATGCAATATGCTCTTCGTTTACTTTTTCGTCCAAAAATATAAGAAATGGTTAGGGGAATTGTGCAAAACAAATTGTCTATCATACATCAATATTGTTGCTTGCACAAAAGATAGAATTTTTTGCTCTTTGTGCAACTGTGATAATTGGCATGCCCTCTCTTTTAATGAAGCCAGCGGCTCAACTATAAGTTTCTGTCCTCAGCCCTTTCTGCACTTTCTGCAATTGTTAAGCAGGGCTCAGAATCTCATCCGAATCCACATCTACATCCAGCCGACTCATTCATCAAAAATGTGCACTTAACACATGGCAAAGGCAGTTTCCCGGGCAGCATTGAGCATTGCTGCCTCATTCTTTGGTAATGCACATAAATCCTTAGAGTGCGCACTTAACTCCTTTTTATGCTGCGACAAAGTACATTTACTAATGACCAAGTCAAACAATGGCCACGGCCAAGACGCAACGGGTGGAATGGCTGGAATGGGAGTAGTCCTGGCAGCAGAGACCTGGAGAAAAGTGAGAAAAGGCAAGGGGGTGGGGGATGTCACCAGGACTTGTGACTTCTATGGGGTGGCAGCAGCATGAGGATTGGCCCACGAAGTAGCAATTTACGCGCTCAAGACGGCGGCAAGCGGCAAGATGGTGACAAAGCACGCAAAACGGAACGGCAGTTGGTACTTGAAAAGCGGAGGAAAATTGTTGAGCGGGGTGGGTGGGGGCTGGAAAATCCTTAGCGGGGGGAGAGTAGAAAGTAGAGCCCTGAGCTCCAAGTGTCGGCAGCGGCTGCATGTTAATTGCTGCAGCGACGGCAGCAACAGCAACTGCAAACAGTGGGAAAGCGTGTCTAAATAGCGTAAATTCACACAGACACACACCTCCACAGCCAAAGCGTGGAAAATCTTGCTGCGTATTGTGTGGAAATTGAAAAGCAAGCTGGAAAACTGCCAGGAAATGCAGGACATTTAACACACCCTATTTGCTAAACAAATACCGATAAGCTGGTTAGCGATATTTACAGCTTGATTTATTGTTTTTACTAGGGAAACCATTTAATTATTGTATTTATAATCAGTTATTATTTAATTGTTTTTTAAAATTTTAAAAACAGGAGGTCAAGGATTAAGATGTTTACTTCATGTTTATTTAATTGGCTTACTAAGTTAAAGTTAAAGTTGTATTTTACTTTTTTTAAAAAATAAGTTCAAGGACACCATGTATCTATGAATGATTAATGTAAATATTTTTTTTATTCACGTTTTCATTTACTTTAATAACCAAAATGAATAAATCTTTTGAACCAGACCTACCTTTTTAAGTTGGAAGAGTGTTAGCATAGATTTGCGCAATTTGAAAACTCTCTCACAGTTTGAAGTTCGTGTTTCGAGCTGATCTGTGGATTTATAGAGCAAATTCCCGAACACTAGGTGTCACTTGTTATCATTCTAATCCACGACAGTGTGCGCTCAACAGGATATCTAAGAGCGTTTGTTGCACACGCACAGGCTGAAAATGCAAATTTCCCTTTTGGCTGGCAGTTTAAAATGTTGATGAAGTAATTAGTTTAATATGCGAAATGCCCCTGACGGTGTGCATGTTTGTCTCTCTTTCTCTTCGAGTGTGTGTGTGTGTGTGGGAAGGCGTGGGAGTGTGGGGGGCGTGGCACATTGAAAAGTGTAATTGAAAATACTCACAATTCTGGGCAAAAAGGGACAAGGGCAAAGTCGGGGCTTGGGCATTGTGAAACTTTTTCCATTTATTAAATTTGCCACACGAACAGCGCTCCGAATTCTAGCCAGAGCACTCGTCTATGTGGGTAATGTTTAATTATTTGTGCAGCACATGAAATTAAAGCGGCTACAAATTGTTAAAGCCCATTCCGGTTATCGGCTTGCCGCAAGTCTTTTAATTAAGATATGATCTGTGGAAAACTTTTACCCTTATACGGCATATAAAAAAGATTACATTTTCTTAATTATTTTAATGAACACTTGCATTTTACGTTTGAAACTGAATTCGGGAACAAGCCCTGCTTATCAAAGTCAAGCAAAAGTTTTGCCTTTTGAAACAAAGTTACCAGTTTGTTGTCAGTTTTCAGTAATGTATTTCCCTCGAACTTGTTCAAAATATTATACATTTTGATTTACACAGGGCCACACTTATATCGACACAATTTTGATGCCATTTTGGCAGCTTTTTGTTAAAGTTACTTTTGTTCGAGTTTAAAAGTAATTCAATTAGCAATACCCTTTAGTGTTTGGAATTTTCCGTCATGAGCCTGATTAATTTCCATACGTACCAGGACTATGTGGACAGTTTCATATCCCCCAACGACAAACGCTATTTGGGCAACCAAACGGTCGAGAGAAAGCTGATCCAATATGCCTGCGGAAAGGGTTGTCTGGGCAATTTGCTAACTAGGCAGCAATTCCACCAGCGCAAGGCAATGGAGTTTCTTCTGCTTAGACCGCGGGGATTATGCGGACTACAAATCTTCGGTGACTATTTAAACCACGATGACGAGGTCCTAAAACAGTTTGCCCTTCGAGAGAAAAAGCTGGTCCAGAAACAAATTTCGGTAAGACAATAAGGTCTTCTAAAACAAACATATTGGGTGGAGCCACAGAAAGCACAACACTTAATAAAATGATATCCAAGATAATGCAACAATATATTGTGATTACTATAGCAGCCGAAATAACATTTATCTCTACTCTTTCTATATTTTCTATTATTGAAATTAAGTTTTTCTTTTAGTAATCATTTATTTTTATCATTTTTTAGACCATTGTCTATCTGCTGATGCGTTCGAAAAAGGGTCTGGAGGTCTCCAGTTTTTTCGATCTGGAGCAGAGTCTGCGGGAGTCGCGATGTCAGAGTTCACAGAGCTACGTGGATTGGCGGGGCGTTTTTGAGGGCAGGGTGAAGTTGATGCCATCGAGGCAGCACCTCAGCTATTTCGACTGGAATCAGAACAAGGTGTTCTCCAATAACACCGACAATTTCTACGTGGTCGACAAGAGGAACCACAGTCTGCTGGTGCGACATGTCGGCGATCACAAGATGTTCTGCGTAAATGGCACCTGCGACTGTGTGTTCACGAAAAATGTCAACCGCAAAACGTATTGCTCACCCACCTATGGATATGTCATATTCTTTGACCACATAATCAAGCGCATTAATTAGCGATGGTTTTCAAACGTCAATAATGCGTAATCGTGGATAAATAAAAAATAAAATAAACTGAACAAAGTCATGTCCTCGAGGGCGCATTTGTCGTTGACAGTTAACGTAAATTGCTTTTCATATCTTATCGGTTCTGGTCTGTCGTGGCCACAGTTTGTGATGGACATTTCGAGTTCTTTCCGCCCAGCAAGTCCTCCATCCATCAGGGAGCGGAAATTACCCGAGCTTTATGCCATTTTGTTTGAGTTTATCGCCGTCAGAGCACTTCAATTGCATAAATCTATTAACTGTTGACGCCCTCAACTCGGTCAATATATGCTTGTTTGCCCATTTGCCATTGTTTGCCAAGTGCTTTGTGTTAATTTTCCTAATTTGCCTTTCCATTCATGCAAATTAACATGGTCAAGATTTGCTTAGCTTTACAGAGTAAGCTGATTCATCAAGTCACATTTTCTTGCCAAAGTTAATTTACTTAATTATAAATTCGCAAACAATTTAATAATTATATAGTTATATAGTTCAAAAATTATAAGTAAATATCAGATTAACGTCAAGTGGATAATGAAACCTCTGAGGGCTGTTCTCTTCTAATTTCAGTTGAAAACTCTAGGCATGTGTTCACCATTATAAAACATAAATAAATAATGAATGTGTTTGAATTATGATTTAAATGCCATCTGCAGTGGGCCTGCAATTTAATTTGCATACACAATTAGCTGTTAATGTATAACTCACCTTGGTTTCACTCGCCCAGAAAATAATTCAATTAATAAAACACAAAGAGCAGCAGACTCGACTACTGGATTTTGCAGGTGCAAATTTTAGTGTCCTGGCTGCAGGATAACTATTATTTCGCCCTCTGGCACCAGTGTCCAAATAAATATTTGCTCGGCTTGCCTTAGTCAAGTCCACAGGGCAGTTCAAGTGCCGTAAGTTGGGTCCATGTGTCTTTGCTCTCCATTAAGATATGGCAAATTTGTTGCCCCCAAAACACAAACAGCCGGATAGACATTCCCTTGGGCTTTCCATTGAGATTGCATTTTACGGGCATGGGCTAAATAAATTTCATACGAAATAAACTGGCAATTTACTGCCAGACTGCATTTTCAAGACCAAATTCCCATCCAATATACTTTGATTAACAAAGGGAAGGAAAATGGCAAAACACAGAAATACAAGTACATTTATTTGAATTTTATTTCAGTGTTTTTCGGCTTGTTTTGACAAATTATATGTACAAATATCGAGCGATTTGCAATGCCAATCAGCCGTTAATAATTTTGCCTATCCTCAAATGTAGTCAAGTGGTTTTCATTTGATATTGTGAAACCCAATGTATAAATTATGAATAAATATACAGTCATCGTGTGGCCAATTAAATTGGCCAAATGTGCAAACAATAATGCAAATGAATTATTTAAATGCTTGTGGAATGAATGTCAAACAGCTCAGGGTTATTTAAATGAAAGTGTGCAGCATCATATTGTCCTGAGCCTCGTTCAAAAAGAAGAAAATGTTTTTAAAGACAGTTGTGAGCAGTAAAAATACAAATGAATTAATATTGGAAATCACACAATTACATAAGCATTTAAATATATATTTTTATCAGGAATTCTTGATACTCTATATAATTAAATATGTTTTCCTAAGACAGACGCATTTCAGAACGCCTAATTAATATGAAGATCCTGTCTGCCTTGACTTGCTGTCAATTTGATTGGATTTATGCCTGACCTGTGGGTCACACAAGTCGACAAATAATTTATGAGCTGACCCACCCAGAAAAGGCCGCCAGCCGGGCCATGTGTTTCATTTGTTATTGCCGACTCGACACAAAGAATATAATATTTCATAAGGTCGTAAGCTGTCGCAAAAGATGCCTAATAAATAATTTAGGCGCTCAAGATTGGACATCTGGCGAGGTTACGTGCCCCGACAAAACCCTTTCAGTCCCCGAAAATAAATACATAAAACGCCACCATGAAGAAAGCATCATCGGTCGGAAGTCGGGAAAATAATAATAAACTGAGGACTGAGTGAAAGGCATATTAAATTAAGCTGCATGCCGCAAATGCCAAAAGGTCCTTTCAAAAGCCCCGCAGTTCATATTCCAGACAGAAAAACACTCATAAAATGTGACCAATAATGAAAATAATGAAGGAATGAATTAAATGAAATGTAACGCAGCAAATTAAATTGTTGTCTCACTTTCCGTCTGCTGCCAGTTGTTTTTCCCAATTTCTTGCTGCCATTTTGGGAAAGCAAAAAGTTCGTGGTAAAATTAATTCATTCTTGGCTTGCATTAAACGAAAAGTTGCTCAAAGAAAAGTAAAGCTAAGATCAGTAACTTTTTAAGAATGTTAAGAAATAAGGATTTTATTCTAGAATATAACTCAAACCAATTTATAATGAGCTACAAATAAATAAACTTTTTCTTTTCTTTTCTTGTATGTCAAAGGTAAATACCGTAGAATATTTGTACCAAGAATCTGATTATTGTGCAATTCAATGAACACCAAAATGCCTTCATAATCCAATTCATCGAAATCAGTACACGCTCAATAGGAGTTGTGAAGAATGCTTTTTGAAAATATTACGCATACGACATGTTACCATTACCGAAAGACTGTGCAATTTCGTATTAAGGTTTGGATTCAATTGCCATAACTCCGTAACAACATGCATTGCATGCAAAATAAGCCAAATTTATGGGCCAAACAAAAGCTTATAAACCACAAATCAAAGTGCAATACAATGCACCCGCCCAGCAACAACAATTACGTATCAAGTTAAAAGCTATTGTGAATTTTCTAACCGAAGTCATATTGTCTATACATTTATCAAATGTCTGTCCATCCGTCCGTCTGTCTGTCTGACTGTCTATCTGCTGTTCAGTAGGAATATGTGTTTCAGTTTCAGTTTGTGTTTTGGCGGATGCCATAAATAAAACTCAGCCAAAAGATAGACATGAAAAGAGGGAGTCTTAAGTCGGAAATTGTTTCGCAACGTGGGAAATGTTTGATTTATGTCTGTTTTTCCCAGTGACCTCCTCTGGGACGGGGGTAAAAAGGCACACAGCAGTTGTAAAATGTGTAATTGATGATGTGGCAGAGAGGACATAAAAAGGAAAACAGAATATGAAGGCTTACAGGCTGGCTTAATGCCTGGATTTTGTTGACATTTTCGACAAAACATCTACAAACTGCGACAGTAGTCAGTAGTCAGTAAAGTGAACAAAATACGGAACCCTTTGCATGATAAGTGCATTTCGAGTGCAGGACACGAAAAGCGTGACAACATGCAAAGAGGGGGGTGGGGCAAAACGGACAGCACCCAAGCCAACTAAGCCAAACGGAAACGGAAACTGCATGCAAAAAAGAGGAGAGAAAAGCGGAGAAAAAACGGAGAGGAGATAGGAAATGTAATGTTGACCATTTGGCAAGCAGCACGAAAAGTCATTTTGTTCAGCGGGCGAAGGAAGGACACGGGACACGACACAAGACACCTTGCTTGTTATCCTGGCAAATATTTTCCACTCGACACAAAAGCATATTATCCAGGGTCCCAACGAAAAGTTCCCATTTGAAGCTTAACAAATTGATTTTTTAGTTGGAATTCCTCAACGTTGCATGACAGTTGCTCATGGAGCTCGGCTGCACCATTTGCATGGAGTGATATACTATATACAACCTTTGGTGGCGCCTTCATTGCTTAATGCACTGGAAACTCGACTTTTCGCCTCCCCCCCTCTCCACCTCATTTTTCGGGGCCCTCGAAAGTTACCGCCATTGTTTGCTCTATACTTTTCGGTGGGCATAAATAAATTTTCATTAATTTATGTGCAGGCGACGACGCTCAACGGCAGTCTCATAATGTGCGGCATAAGTTTGTGCCCCCCAGAAAAGATGAAGAGCTTCTGCGGAGGCGAGGAGCAAACATTCTGGTGCATCCTGCCTGGAGCGTAGAGCCCCGAAAAGACGGCGGATATTAAGATGAATCTGCCGGCTGATATACAGCCAACTTTGGAATGGCTAATGAAGCCGGCAAAGAAGCCTGAAAAGCCTGAAAAACCCGAAAATGCAGCCAACCCACAAAATGTTGCCTTGCATTTATGCAGCAAACCCCATTAATGTCATTTATTTTCAAATTTCCCAGGGGTCTGTATCAACTTTATTGTTGATTATATGCATTTTTCCGTTTGAATGCCTTCCCCAAGGGAGTTAATTAATTTGTACAATTGTAAAAATTTGTAGCTGCCCAGACAATCGAATTAAAGCCAACTTACGAAATGGCAAACAGACCACAGAAGCAACAACAATAGCACAATTACAATAGTTACAAAAAGCGATTCAAAGGCAGCACATTTTCATCGATTTTCAGAAATAACTCACTTTGTGGAGGAATTAAGTGCATCACAATCACACCTTGGACATGGAATTAAGCAGTGAGTGAAATAAAATCATTGTCGCTTTGATTTTCATTTAGTTGCTAGATAAACTTACAGCTAGACTTAATTGTAATTTTAATTCTAAATATTAGCTAAGCTTAACATTACAATTTGGCATTTAAAATATGTTGTAAATGTATAAGTTCTGAAAATAATATAATAAAGGTCTTTTAAGTGTAATGTGATTATATGTTAACCTTTTTTATATATTTACAAAAAATGTAATGTGATTATATGTTAACCTTTTTTATATATTTAATCATAAGCTATTTTAAATATTTAATAATAATAACACATTTAATGCAACCTCCCCAGTTGATTTTACAGCTTGATAAGTGAGTAAAAAAGGTATCAAACCATAATTCCATGAAAAGATAAAAAACAATGGAGTTTTTTAAGTTTTGATTTAAAATATATGTTTTAAATATATCTGTTCTAAAAATGTATAATACTTGGTAGCTGCTTATTCGCAACACTTTTTTATGTATAATTAAGGTATTAACTCCAATCCCCCCAGTTTGTTTCACAGCTTTATAAAATACAAGTGAGGCTGAGGTATCAAACCATAACCCCTTGACAAGGTAAAAAAAAACACAAATTAAAAGCGCAAACGAA